TTGCGGGTCCCAGGCGCCCGTCGACGGCCCTCGCCAGGCGCGGGTACACCGCGTGCACGTTCGAGCTCGATGACGACCCGGCGCAAGATGTTCTCCGCCCCGGTACTCTTCAATGCCTCCTCAGCCTCATCCGCCACCCCGCGTGCAGACGGGCGTGGATGGGTACTCCGTGTGCCAGCTGGTCCAGAGCCCGCAGAGGCGGGACAGGCCCTCCTGCCCTACGCGAGAGCGGTCAGGGTCTCTACGGGCTTCCAGTACTCAACGCTGCAGGCGCGCGGCGGGCACTGCTGGGTAACAGGCTCATGGATGTGTCAACCCTCGTCGCTCAGCACGCCTCCGACAGCAACGTCCGCTGGGTGATCGAGGACCCCGTGGCCTCGAGGCTGTGGCTGATTCGTGTAATGTCGCACTTGAGAGTCCGCGGGGCTGAATCAGTGATTACTAGTTTTTGTCATTACGGCTTGCCTTTGCAGAAGATACGAGTGTTCTCTTCGGTGTGTGCAGAGAGCTGTCATCATTCTAAGATGCCACATGAAGCGGGGTCGATGTCCTGTTTCCAACAATAACACTTTCAGCTGGTAGGAGAAGGGCCTGGTGGAGTTGTTCGTCCGTGGCTCTGTGTAAGCATACCTGTCAGCTGCTCTTTCCTACATCATTCAAGGCATGCGACCAGGTCCACGGTCGGGATCGAGGTTTTTTTGTCATTGCCAGTCCTGCCTTCTGTATCGTTCGTAGTGCCGTGTGCAAATGGCTATTGAACTGCCAGTATAGCTGGCCTTCTGGCGAGACAACGAATGTAGCGGGTGACGTAACAAGTGCTTGCACGGATTTGTCAATGCAGAATGGGAGCTCGCCGTCGCATTAGTGTATAATATTGTTGCTTTGGGCTCAAGTGTTTGTCATCTTCACGCCGACTCCATCTTCCCACCTGTTTACACACATACTGTGTGGGGGAGTTTTCCTTTTCAGCATTTGCCGGCCCTGCATTCTGTTTTGTTTGCAGTGCCATGTGCTGACGGATATTGAACTGCCAGCACAGTTGGCCCGGTGGCGAGACAAAGAAGGTAGCGGGTGACATTGATGTGTATTGGGTTGGCTATGTGTGCCCATTCGTCTTACGTAAGTAGTGGGACGCACTCCATGCTGAGCCAGACGGCGATGTAAATGTAGTGGAGGTCGAAGTCGTCGTCAAGAAATGTTCCTTGTTTGTGTGTTGCCAACGGTGTCGTGCAGTCTAGTTGCTGTGTGATGTCTAGCCCCTGCTGCGGTGTGGCCGTCTTATGGTTCTGGTTGGTAGTGTGGCATCGGAAAGCTAGCAGCCGAGATGCGTCGTCTTCTGCGCGGTCGCCTGCTGTATGTATGGATGATGCTCCGAGGTGATACTCTGTTTGTGTTTGCGCTTCTCTGAGTCGCTTCGATGCGTTCGTCATTAGAGCGTGTCACGTACAGTTCAAGCGTACTGGACCAGACGAACCGTGGTGCGTTGACGCAGCCTATAACTCGTGCCGAAGCTGTTGTCTTTGATGTCGGGTGGGTGTGTAGTGCCAGTAGGTTCGTAAGGTGATGTCAAAATTGTGAGTGGGTGCGGAGGGAGCCAAATTTCAAAAATGGAGGAACTAGAGTGTGATGCTACTAGTAGCTGCCGGGTCAACATGTCAAATGGCGCTTGGCGGCTGTGTAGGTGCGGAGGCTGCCCTCACTGTACTATGTTATGGTACTGTGGGCCGAATTGACCTGGAGGATACCGTTTGGGGTCATTACTACGTGGCCCATGTTGTTGAGTGTGTTGCGGTCAATGGGTTGCGGATGATCTTTAGCCGGTCGTAGTTCTTGCTGGCTCTTGTCGGTTTGTCGGTGGTATTGTTGGTTATGTAGTTTGATATGTTCAGCTGGTCGGTCATTTACTGGTTTGGCGGGTCGTGCTGGGTGGTGGAGTCTCTGCTTTGGCCTGTCAGATTAAGCTGGCAGTCGGCCGCGGTCGGAGGATAGACGGCGGGAGCCTCTCGGGGGCGTGGAGGGATGGGGGCGAGGGGGGGCTCTGGGGCAGGGTCGGCGCCCCGTCCCGTCGGGGGTATGGTAAAACGTTGCACCAAGGAGGAGGAGGAGGAGGAGGAGGAGGAGGAGGAGGAGGAGGAGGAGGAGGAGGAGGCCCCCCCCCCCTCTTTGGGCTAGAGTCGGGCTTCGGTTCCCAATTCAGAGATTCGAGCCCCAAGCGGTGTACGGACCCAGACGGGAGCACACCGCATAGAACGTCCTCAGGGAACATCAGCTATCTATAGGGATTGCTCCCAAGAGGACCCGACAGATTTACCAGCAAGCCCAAAGGTGGCCATGTTGCGTTGCACTTGTGCTGGGAAATGCTGTCGTGTCGTGTCCGACGGACCTGACGCCTCACGCTGAGGGGTTCAGCAAAAAACGTTTTCTCGGCTTATCCCTTGTTCTGCCCCCGTGTAGTCCGCAATGCGCGCCAGATGTGTCAGCGTGCGCGCCCCAACGCGGTGTTTGCCCAGTTTCGCGAGGCGCGCTCACGATGTCTTGATTTCAGCGACCTTGCTGTCGTGCGGCTGCGCTGCACCCGCTCGGAGCCGTGCTTCGCAATACGGAATCAGTCTTCGCAGTGCCGATGTAATTATGCGCCAGTGGGGGGATTTATTGGTGCTGGTAGGTGTTGCTGGCAACCATCGGTCGCACACTGGAGTGCTGATGTGTGTGTGTGTGTGTGTTTGTGTGGGTTGTGTTGTGTGCGGGTCTGTGTGTTTGTTGTGTGCATGTGTATATGTGTGTGTGAATGTGTGGATGTGTGTGTGCGTATGTGTATTAATCAGCGTGATATGATTGGGTGTGTTAGCATGCAGATGGCCTTTGGGTTGGCATATGCTGCTGATATGCTGGTCGAGCGATTTGGGTAGTTAGATAGTGTTGGTAGTCTGCTGGTATTGCATGCTCGTCTGCTGATACTCCTTGGGTCCTCCTCCTCCTCCTCCTCCTCCTTTTCCTCCTCCTCCTTCTCCCCCTCCTCCCTCTCTTCCTCGATCCTCCTCGACGGGGGTTCGAGGGGAAGTCGGGGAGCCCCCCCCACAACTGCGCCCGTGTTTTTTTCAAACATATGGCTTTAGATACCCGCCGAAGCGACCCCCAGACCTTGGACACCACGGCTCGCTCGTGCTGTGCGCCCCCCCAGAGCTCCCGATCCCCTCGCATGAGCTTGCTTCTCGTCGAGCCTGAAGTAGTTTTTCTGGACCTCCCAAATGGGGCCCGAGCGTCAGCATTCGTTCAGCCCACCCCAATCCCCACTAGGCTATGGTATCTCAGCCCCACCACCCAACTTTCCTTGGCAGGGATGGGCCACGGGAGTCCCGAAAGAACAGGCGTGTATCTCCACCTTGATGGGTAAGTCGGCCAGTTTCGCCAAGGCCACTCCAGTGGGATAGGGATCGGTTAAACGATGTTCAGAGCGACTGGGATCGCGCCACATCGCCGGTGTGTCGGCGATGTGGCGCGATCCCAGAGCCCGATTTGCTTTATCCCGACGTCGCACATCGACGATGCATCTCCGACCCTCCGACCCCGTCTGCCGCGGCCCCACCTACGCGGCCCCCGAGTTCTTGATGGCCCCCATAGGGGCCCTCAGACGACGGCCCCCGCGCACGCCGAGCCGAAACGCGACAGGCCCACGGCGCGACCCGGAGTCCCAAACGCTGCGGCAGAATTGCAGCACCGCGAGAATTCACGATCAGGGACCCAGAGCCCATCTGGGCGACGCAAGAAAACGGGGCCGTCTTCGCCGACGCTGGCGCGTAAGCTGCCCGCGCAAGGTCGCGCGTAGGCGCCCTCGTTTCCAGTGCAGCGTGCCGGGCGGGCGGCGGGCGGCCCGCGTCAGCCGCGGCGTAAGGTCGTTCCGCCACCTCGCGTAAGACTTAAGCCGGGCCTGTCCCTCTACAGGGGGAAGGTGCAAGAATTGTATCAAAAATAGTCTGGGGACGATGTTTTGCGCACTTGGGGCTATTTTGTTGCATATTCTTTGGCTAGGTTTGATGTTTCGTCCAGCATCCGCCTGTGGGAGGACACGCCCGACCTAAAAGCGCAAGACCCGCTCTCCATCGTCGCGCACCTCCTCTAGCCAGCACCTCTCGAGCCGGGCCGTCCCGGGCGGCGACGCCGGGCGGCGGCGCCCGACTGTGGCGAGAAGGGTGGCGCCGAGCGCTCCGGGGACCTCGCCCGAGACGCCGGGAGCTCAGCTGCCGCGGTGCGCCCTTTGTGGAGGCGCAGCACGCACCGTGCTTCAAAAGCGTCAGTGTCTATACGTCGCGTGTCGGCCCAGCGTGCTGGCCCACGCTTGGGCGGACGTGTCGCGTCAGGCCTGCGTGTTCAGTCTACGTGTGGAGCTCCGTATCAATGCGCTGCGTGTCGCGTGCTGCGTATTGGGGCAGCTAAGGTCTGGAGGTCTGAGGTTATGGGGTTCCAACCTTCTTCAGCCTCGATCACCAAGCAGAATGTCGAGCACCCAGAGAGCACCGAAACCTCAAGGTTTTCACGCGCCGGGCCCTGGGTGGCGATGCTCCTTCGACGCTGCCTCGACACGTTTCTGGGCGATCGAAACTATTACGAAGGCCTGACGGCCGGGGCCGCCGACCCTGAAGAGGACCACGATGTCGGCGATGAAGTGGGCGGAGACGGAGCCCGTGGAAGATTAGGAGGAGGAGGAGGAGGCGAGGAGGAGAGGGAGGAGGAGGGGGAGGAGGAGGCAGGAGGAGGAGGAGGAGGAGGAGATGGGGAGAGAGAGGAGAGGAGGAGGAGGAGGAGGGAGGAGGAGAGGAGGAGGAGGGAGAGGAGGAGGAGGAGGGGAGGAGGAGCAGAAGGGGAGGAGGAGCGTGGAGATGGAGGTTGGAGCAGAAGGGGGAGGAGGAGGGGGAGGAGGGAGGAGGGAGGAGGAGGAGGAGGAGGAGGAGGAGGTGGAGGGCGATCGAAATCATTTCTGGGGTGTGGTCCTCGTGTGCGAGTGGGGGGCAGCATGAGCCTGCAGGGCGGGCGTGACCGCCGGCCCCGGGCCGGCTTGCTGCCCGGCCGGCGGCCGTCCGTCGGAGAGGCGGCCGCGCACGGCGCGGCTGCGGTCCCTGCTGGCGCACGGGCCCGCCCAGAAGCGGCGCGTGTGGCCGTCGTGCGGGGGCGGCAGCGAGGGGCTCGGCATCGCTCGGACGTGTGCATTCTTTCTCGGCGAGGACCGTCAAGGAGCATGCTGGATCATGTCGCAAAAAAAAAGCGCGCACGACACCGACAAATGCACGGGAAATGGACGTTCGAGCGATGGCAAGAGGGGGGGTGATGAAGATAGAGGGGGGGGGATTATCATGGCGGGGGGCATGAGATCTCTCCAGATTTCAGGGCGCCTCGTCGGATTTCAATACGTCCCCGCCCCCCCCCCCGCCCCCTCTGGGCCGCGCACATGCCGCCGGCCATGAATTGACTCCCCCCTCTTGGACGCCCCCCTCTTGGCCGCCCCCAATTAATTGCTCTCGGGCCGGTTGTTGAACCGTCCGGGAGCTCTCGCCGCAGCGGTCACGTCAGGTGCTCGTGTTGGGGGCATTCCTAGGATCTGCTCGATTCCGCTGCGGCTCCAATTATCGACAGTTCGGCTCTAGTTCGACTCCATCTCGACCCAGATTTGACTCGAGCTCGGCTCAAGGTCGACTCAAGCCGACGGACATTCGACGCACCATCAGCGCATGCGTGGAGCGAGCGTGGCTCCAGGAAGGTCCCCAGGACGAGCCCCTAAGCCACGTGCCCAGGCCTCTTCGAGGCAGGAGGGGGCCCCTGGGGCCGTTAGGTAGCGCCTCGGGATGGAGGGGCCGTCCTGGAGAATGCCCCAGGGCTTACCAGCCCTCTTGACCAGGACCCCTCCCCTGTGTGTCAAATCTCTGCGGCCCTCCGCGATGAAGCACCACGGCCGGCGGTTTGTGTCCTCGGCGTCGGCCTCTAGGGGCGGGGCGGGTCTTCGGGCCCCCGGGGCCCACCAGAAGCGTCGCGCAAGCAGAGAGAGAGAGAGACGCCGGTCCCGGGGGTGGGGCCGGAAGCTCCGGGGTCCCCTCCGCGGAGGCGCCACGGCGCCAGAGGTCCGGGCATTCGGCCAGGCCTTCCTCACCACCGGTCGTCCTCGCATGGAGGCTCCGAGCTCTGAGTCTTCCAGCCAGGGAGCGTTCGCTGCGCTGCCCTCGCCGAGCTCCGCGCTGAGTTTCAGTAGCTCGGTCCGCGTCCGTTTTCCGCGTCTTGCTCCGTCGCCCCCTGGAGCTGCGTCTTTCGGGTTGGCCCAAAAGGGGGTCCAGCGACAAGGGGGTAATTAGTGCAATAGATTTGGTGCAATAGATTTGCGGGGTTGCAGTACATTTGGGGCGTGCAATACATTCCGGGGCGCAAATGCATTGCTGGATTTTCGCGTGCAATTACAATGCAATACAATTCTCCGTCGCAGTACATTTGCAATACAATTGCCCCAAATCTATTGCACCACCCCTTTCAGCTGGACCCCCTTTTGGGTCACCCAAAATCCTCGCCCTTCCGTGTCCGCACTTCCCGCACCAACACTCCAGAGCAAGACGCCGGCGCGCTTTTGTGTTTTTTAGTAGGCCCTGGGAAGAGCTGCCTCAGTCACACGGGTGCCGAGGGTGGGGAGGACTGGCGGCCGCACACGGGGGTGGGCGGAGGTGGGTTGGCCTTCTCAGATGGCGGGGGTAGGGCTCACCAGCCCCCCTCCTCTCCACGGGTCCGCCAACACCCCGCCCCCGCCCCTGGTTGCGCGCGCCGCCGTTGGGGCGACGTGGAGGAGGACGAAGAGCTGGTGCGCGGTGACGTTGGTGAGGCACCCGAGATTCCCACGCCCACAGCGGGGTCCGGTCCCCAGACTCGGCCTCTCTGACGTGGCGCTCGGTAGCTGGGGGTGGGGGATTACTGGGCGGGGGGATGGAGGATTGCAGGCAGTTGGCTGCCAAAGGGACCCCAGGCGGCCCCGAAACTGGCACCGCGCGCCCAGAAAGGGTGCTGCACTGGGCGCGCGCTCTGTGACCCCTCGTTCAGTTCCCACCCCCGTCACCGAGCGCCCAACCTGACCTGCCCCTGGGCGTCCACCGCGGTGTTGGGAGGCCCCCTGTCTCCTCCTCCTGCTCCTCCTCCTCCTCCTTGGGCACGCTCGACCTCCTCCTCCTCCTCCTCCTCCTCCTCCTCCTCCTCCTCCTCCTTCTCCTCCGCTCCTGCTCCTGCTCATGATCTCTCTCCTCCTCTCCGCCTCCTCCTCGCTCCTCCTCGCTCCTCCTCCTCCTCCCCGCTCCTCCTCGCTCCTCCTCCTTCTCGCTCAACTTCCTCGCTCCTCCTCCTCCTCCTCCTCCTCCTCCTCCTCCTTCTCGCTCCTCCTCCTTCTCCTCCTTCGCCTCCTCCTCTTCGCTTCTCATCATCCTCTCCGAGGTCATCCTCTCCTCCTCCTCCTCCTCGCTCCTCCTCCTCCTCCTCCGCGCAAGCCATGACTTTTTCAGGGCGCCAGCTCACCGGGCAGGGGCTGTGCACCCCTTACCACCGCTGCAGGAGCCGGACCGCCGTGCCAGTGCCGCTGGTCATGGGGCGAGCGCATCGGCACGGCCCTTGGTGAGTGTTTGTTATTCATTGTTTTACCGATCGGCGCGCCCCCCCCCCCCATGGAGTAGATCTTGGCTGCCCCCCCTCATGGAGTAGATCTTGGCTGTTTTTTGGCGCCTGGTTCGAGGCGGGTGGAGTCTCCCCCAGAGGCAGCACGCTTGCAACACAGTCGCACTGCGCAGAGGTCTGGAGCCAGACCCCCCCATCCCCCCCGCTTTTCGCCCAATGTCGAAATGCCGAATAAAAACGCTCACTTGCATAAACAGCATTTTGGGGCGATAGCGCTGTTCGTTACGAGGCGAGCAGTTCTGTGCTGCCCACTGCTCGCCATCGAAGAAGGAAGACCAGCATAAACAGAAGTTCCCGGAGTTCCGCGCGGCTTTCTTGGATCGATGCTGGCCCCCCTGGCGGCTCCTCCGGCGCCGCCCCTGGCCTGGCGCGCTCCCCGCACCAGGGAGGGAGGCACAGCGCCGACCCAAGAAGTCTGCGCAGACCTCCGAACGCTTTCTCTATGGTACTTCTTCGTCCTCTATTTTTTTACGGGGCGAGCAATCGTGCACTGCCCATTGCTCGTCATGGGTCGAGTCGATCTCTCTCATGTTTGAGCTCGTTGGGCAGCCCGGCGTGGTAGCAGCGTGCATTAAAAAAAGGCTTATCCTCCCCTCCCTCCCCCTCCATGCTTCCTTCCTGCTTCCCCCCTCCGCCCACGATCGAGAGAACGCCTGACTCCACCCTGCTACAAAATGTTCGGGCTACTCTTGCGCTGAAGCTCTCTGAAGATGTTGGCTCTCCGCGAGACACGTTTTTGGACCACCTTCTGCTGCAGTCAAAAACCTTGCAGCACGAACCACTCTGGTGCCGGAAGGGGATCGGGGTTTCCTGGACGCTCTGGGGGTATTTACTGATCTTTGTGCATCTAGGCGCAAGTGGTCCCGAAGCGGTCCTGTTCCATGTCCAATGCTTTAACATCAACATCAAGATTTGGGTAGCAGGGCTTCCAACAATAGGTACTAATTTCGAGGTCACGAGCGCCCGTCGATTCCGCAGTGATGTGTCTTGGCCAGCGCCAGAGCTTCCAGCACAAAGGCGCTCCGAACTTCTACTCGTCCCTTTCTCCCGCCCGCCGAAGTTAGGCATAGTTATTCCTTCTTCATCCCTCGCTTCTTATTCGCCATGAGCCCAACGGGTCCTGAGGGAAAGAGTGAGGTGTTTGCAATATTTGGCCTGTCGTGGCCCTTCTTTGGCCTCGGGCAGTCAACTTACGGCTGAGGACTAAAAGCCAGTTGACGGGAGTTCTGCTGGCGTAGCAGGGATGGGTTCCTCGCAGGACCTCTTCGATGTATGGTAATGTGTCCCCCGTGTTTTCTCATCGTTCCATCCTCCTGCGACTCCGAAGGACTCCACTGAAGCTTCAAACGAGAGTTCGGCCAGTGTGATTTTCCCCAACTGCCTCCACTGTTCCCTCCCTCCCCGTATCTTCTCTTTTCCTCCTCCTCCTCCTCTCTCCTCCCTCCTCATCCCCTCATCCCCCGTTCTGCATCCTTCCTCCTCCTCCTCCTCCCTTCCTTCCTTCCTTCCTTCCTTCCTTCCTTCCTTCCTTCCTTCCTTCCCACCCTGATCCTCACACATTCCTCCCCCTCCTCTTCCCCTCTGCCCTCAGTTTTCTCCCACGTCCCTCCTCATTGCCCTCCTCATCGTCTTCCTTGCTCGAGTCCCCCCTTCCCCGTCCTCCTCCGTTTCTATTCCGCTTCGCTTCCTCCTCATTCACTCTTCCATCTCTTCATGTCGTACGACACCCCGTTACTCCTCCTCCTCCTCCTCCTCCTCCTCCTCCTCCTCCTCCTCCTCCTCCTCCTCCTCCGTAGCCATTTTGGCTCAAGATGCCTGGTTCCTTCGGGGCTAACACGGATACTGCTAGTCCGCGGCAGTTTTCACCAATCACGGAGGTCCCCTGGTCCTCAGAGCGCGTTCAGAGGCTCCCGTCAGAGGAGTGCGCTGCTGAGACAGGGGGTTCGAGAGCCTCCAACCACCGCCTCCAACCATGGCGCCGGCGCCGTGGCACTCCCCGAAGCTGGACTGGATGTGCAAGTTCTGTGTGCACAAGAAGTCTGGTCTTCCTCTCGTCAATTGGGGCAGTAATGATCGCTGCTTCATGTGTCATGTGCACAAGTCCGCCAGTTTCAAGTGCGTGCGCCCAAGCAAGTTGCCCTCCTTCAACGTGGTTGGAGGCAAGGACAAGGGAGCGTTCAGCAAGCTGGTTCGGCGTCTCGAGGAGCTCGAGAAGGAGAACGCCACCCTCAAAGGCGGGGAAGGTGGCGCAGGCCCGCAGCAGACCGACACCACCGACGAGCCAGCTGAACTCAGGGAGGCGACTCGCTGGCCAAGCACGTCCATTGGCTGGAGTCGGCTAAAGGGGAGTGGGCCAAGGCTGCCTTGGTCTCAGCCCAGTCTCAGTTGGAAGTTGCTCGTGCCAAGCTCCATGAGAACAAGCCCTTGGGCGCGAAGCTTAGCGTTCTTTCGAGGAGAGTGGAGCAAGCCCGTAAGCAGAAGGAGAAGGTCATCGCAGACCGTGCAGCGGGTCAGGCAGATCTGGA